TATATATATATATATATACAAAAATTTTGGACAGTACCTACTTTATTTACTTTTTCTTCCAAAAATCATGTAAACATTGAAAAAAAATAGCTCCTACTTGAAGATAACGTATCAAAGAACAATAACTTCGATTATGTGCATGCGACTATATTTGCAAGACGTTTTTTGTGACATATTGTGACATTCGTTTTTCCGGTATTATAAAAGTAAATCTGGAATATATATATTTATTAAATGATCAGCCGGATTAATGAATTTTTGTTGCTAATAAGATTTGAAAATATAATATGAAATAATAAATATGGAACAAGGACATTCAAGCGACTATACAGGACTATGTTCAGATTCCTACCCAAATGCTACCCAGATATCACTCCATCTTTGTTGTTTATCGAACGTTAAACATGAACAACATGACCAGAGAGCATCCAGGTGTGAATCCGAACACCCGCCCCAGGTTGCATTCGAAAACTACCCGAGTGTCTACGAGTATCATTTTATCCTTATTGTTAACCAAATGTTAAACAAGAATAAAATGATATTCAGAGGTAGCATTTTCGAACGCAACCAAAATTCCCCTAATTATTGACACAGCGCTCGTGTACAGGTAGAGCACACCAAGCACACTAAACTGACAATGAGATGGCACGAATTGCGAAATACGAATTGGAATGTAACCTATACCATTCGAAAGGCGAGTTGGAGAGTGTAAAAAGTGTAAAAGGTTTGGGTCCTCGTTTAAGAGAAATTTGCATGTGAAGTTGAGCAATGGGCCTGCTGCGCGGTAAGTACTGTGAATAAGTAGGGATAAAGCAGGAAACGCGGTAGCCGAGAGGCCTGAGGGGCGCGTATTACTTTTACATCTGACGAAGAGAGTTCGAGACCACGCAGTACAATATTTTTTTTTTATTAAATCAAAAAACGTCATTATATATATTTATTTACGTTGATTTATTTATAAAATTCGAACATTGCCGTAGAATATTGTAAATTAAAATTTATATTAAAACATTGAAAACACAAATGAGTCGTACATCACAAACATTTTATAAAATAATATTTCGTTTTATATTTATTTTTTATTCATCATTACCATTATTATAAAATTCGGATACCACATTTTATAAAATAATCGTATTAATGGATAATCTTATTAATGGAGAAAAAAAATAGAATTGAAGTCGCAATATGACGCGATAAAAATTCAACCATTAGTTCATTATGTATTACGTGCTCCAAAATTTAAAAACATGATCCTATTTGCATGGTATGCGTCAAAGTTGGCAAATAAACGCGAATTTTTTTATAATGTTAATCAATTATGTTTCCCTGCAAATCTACATAACTTGAAATGTAATTTGTGTAAAACGAATTATTGTTTTATTAAATGTTCGTGGTGTGCGGCTCACTTATGTTTCCAATGCTTTTACATTAATTTTCACCCACAACATTGTACGGCAATGTCCGATGCATGAAAATGATAAAAAATATTTTATTCGAAGTATTGCCCATCGCTAGCTATACATTTTTCCCACCTGTCTGACAATTTGTGGATGCCACGCCAAAAAGCTGTTGCTTTTTTGAGCCAAACCAGTCATCTAACCATTTTCGTACATCTTCGTAAGAAGTGAAGCGCTGCTGAGCAAGTGCGTGTCCCATCGATGCAAATAAGTAGTAATCGGACGGAGCCAAGTCTGGTGAGTAAGCCACATGCGAAAGTATTTCCCAACCAAACGCCTCAATCGTTTCCTTGACCAGTTTTGCTGTGTGTGATGGTGCATTATCATGAAGCAAAAGTACTTTGTGTTGCCTTTTTTGATATTTCGGTCGTTTTTCATGCAAAGCTTGATTCAAATTGATTATTTGTTGTCGGTAGCGTTCAGTATTAACGATTTCGCCAGGTTTTAGCAGCTCATAATAGATCACACCTTTCCGACCCCACCAAACACAGAGCATCTTCCGTCCATAGAGATTTGGCCTCGCAGTCGATGTCGATGGTTCGCCTGGAGTTACCATGATCTTTCACCCTTAGGATTCTCAAAATATATCCACTTTTCATCGCCAGTCACAATTCGATGGAGAGAAATGACTTTCTCTTGTACCTGGCGAGCAGAATTTCGCAAGTGGTTTTTCGGTTTTCCTGCTGTCTTTCATTCAGTTCATGTAGAACTCATTTTCCCATCTTCTGGATCTTTCCCATGGATTTCAAACGTATGGAGACGGCTTCTCGTGTCACATTCAATTGATCCGCGAGTTGTTGAGTTTGAGCGTCATCCTCATCTTACCGCACAGCAGACCGAGTGCTCAACTTCACATGCAAATTTCTCTTAAACATGGGTCCATGCACCCAAACCCTTTTACACTTTTTACACTCCCGACCTCGCCTTTCGCATAGTATAGGTTACATTCCAATTCGTATTTCGTAATTCGTGCCATCTCCTTGTGAGTCAAAGGGCAGTATTCATAGTCCGTTCTTATTTTAAGACTATCTTAAGTAATATTTTAAGATGCTAATGCAGCGCTCTGATTGGTTTATGACATCTTAAGACTGTACTTAAGACAGTCTCAAATACAAAAATCGACTACGAATACCGACCAAAAAGTCCTGCATCATATTTCAACTTTCACAACAGTAACGAAAATTAATTACTAAAAATCACCGAATAAGCCCGGCCTATCGCCAAATTTAAGCGCGCGATGAGAAACAGCTGCCCAGTAGTCATGATTGCGCAAGAAATTGTTAATTACCAACGGCAACGACTAGAACGGTGCTGGACCCTTGTTCTGAACTACGATTATTCTCCGTTTTTTTTATCAAAACGAAATCTTCCGACAAAACAAGAAAAATGTAATAGTAAGTAGCTATATAAAAGTATATTTCTAGTCTAATGCAATTCTAATCTAATGCAATTTGTATTAGATTAAATATATTTTGATTAACATATTCCTTATTAAAAAATAAAAACATTACAATATAATAATTTTTATATGCTAAAACTTGTAATTCAAAATATTCATTAAATTATTTTTGATATATAAATTGTCTGCACAAGTAAAATATATTTAAACAGAAGTATTCAACAAGTTATTATGGGTATTTAATTAAATTTATATTAATATATATTCGTAATGCTTAAAAAGTATCATAGAATTCAATAAATAAGTCGTAAGATTCCTTAATATGAAATTAAAGCTTTTATTTTTAATTTTTATTAATCTTTAGAGGGCGGGAATCTATTTTTTTAATTTTACGAATTTTACAATTTTACAAATATTTCTTGATTAAGATTCTTATAATTCATTATTTTTCATTGTATTTCTTGTCTCAAAATATGACACCGTTTTAGCATCGTTAGTGACTTTCGTTCTGTACAGATTAACAAATGAGCAATTCTTTCAAAGAGCTGTTCCTACAGCTACAGTTTTGCTATTGCTATTGAAAAAAAATCAATCTAGACATAAACAAACTTAGAAATAAACATACTTGTACGGAATTAACATCGCCACAGTTGGTATACGAATTATAGCTGGCTGACCAATCACCTATTCCCTGTTCGTTCTCTGCTGAAAAAACAAAAAACAAGATATTCAATAAATAAAATATCATAAAAATGAAAATTCAACATATAGCACAGGATAATTAGATTTTTTGGAAGCAAAATTGTCATAAAAAAATTTATTTGCGAGAAGTTGTTTGAAATGACATAATATACAGCATATTAAAAGTCTTGATTGTCAACGGACTTAGGAAACTTTTCAATTTTAAAAAATTGCGGTTTTTGAAATATATCTGCGAAAATATTTATTTTATCGAAATAAAAATCATTATCAAAAAGAAAACTGGCAAAATTACACACAATTTTATTTTCTTTTAAGGTCGTACAATACTTTCGTGATAGAATTAAAAAAAATTTTTTTTAAAGAATATTTTTGATCGCTCATTACGAATCTGAAGTTAAAATTCAGTCATTTCGAGAATGAAACAATTTTTCACACTTTTTTCGTAAATATCTCGAATTTGGCTACTTTTACGTACAAAATACCTCTTATGAAAACTGAAGGTTTTACTGAATTCCCTACAAAATTGTTTTTTACTCATATACGACCATACAACAGTTTCCGAAATACGATTTAAAAAATGTTTCCTGTTATTTTTTAACAAAACTTATTTTTTAACGTTTTATGTATGGTAAATATCTCGGATTCGGCTACACCTACGTAAAAAGTACCAATAATCAAATCGAAAGGTTTTTCAATTCCCTACAAACTTTTGCTTATGACTTATCGTACGTAAAAAAATGTACAAAAGCAGTCTTAAAGTTTATTAGCTTACAAAATTTTTTTTAACCTCGACTAGGAGAGCCTTTACATAATTCGCAAATCGCAAAACGTAGTTCACAAATGCTGAAGCAGAATGACGATCGTACGTAAGACACACACAGATGAAAACTGCATGCAATGAAAAAACGTAAATCTTCGTTCTGCGTATACGTTTACGAACTACGTTTTGCGATTTGAAAGTTATGTAGAAGCACCTTAATATTCCCAAGATATGGTGTTTCAAAGATGTTATGGAACCCTCAATTTATATGTTAAAATATGAGTTTATTTATCAAGTATGTAATCGAATTGGACAAAATAATATTCATGTTTTTCTTAAAGTTTACATGTATTTATATACAATTCGAATTGCGTACCATTCTCCAAAATATATTTTTGGAAAAACAGCTTTGAGAAAAATTGCCTTCTTCCAATATTTTCTAAAAAAAAAAAAGAAAACGTTTTCTTCGTTACTTTTTTATAAATATCGCAGTTTTTAAAGGACTTACGTAAAAAATAATGTATACCAAATTAAAACTTATAAAATTTCCTACAAAATGCTTTTTTTTCTTCTCTGTCCGTCAATTTTTATGCAAAATGCAAGTTTAAAGGAAGAGTTTTCTGCGACGATTTTCTGACTGAAAATTATGATCCATAACTTGTGTACAAACGATGGGGTGGCACCCAGTTGGACACGGCTCAATTGGACACGAGCCACTCACAGCGCTTGAGACTACAAAGCTCCTAAGCACTGGTCGCTGTGATTGGTGGTGTCCAATCGAGCCGCGATCAATCGAGATCACCCCCAGACGATATGTTTGGAAAAATGTTAGGATAACGACACTTTGTGACCTCTTAATAGATAATATTCCCTTGAATTTGGTGCTTGGTTCATATTTTTAGAACCAATAGTTTCGTAGATACAACTTTGACAAATATGGTCTTATTCAGACCGCTAATTCTGATAATGACTGGCTAGTGACGCAGAGGCTAAATAGTGTGATATATGTATATACCTTTATTGGTTCTCATACCTTAAGGTGGTTCTTCGGTAAAGTGCCGAAAATTTAGGGTACCTCATCAGAGTCCATCCAAAATTACAAATATCTGCATAATTTGGATAAAACATTAAAACTACATGTATCTTAATAAAATAGTATGGAACATACGGTAGTAAATCAAGAGCTGCATTTTTATCGAACAAAAACAAGATGAGATTATGTTTACTTTTCGAAGTTAAATTTATATTCCCTTCCTGGCGCGCCACCTTGTCGTGGTGAGAGGGCTCAGCGCGCGCCGTCCCTCGTCGTCGGCGCTTATTAGCGGGGACAGACGGCCGGGGATGCCTGCGCCGGCCTGTGAAGGTGTTGTCCCAGCCTCTTTATCGGTCGGTCTATGGCGAAACAAGCTATGGGCTATCCACGATGTGCACCGCAGGCACCGTGGATGAACTGGCTACTGCGAAGACCTCTATTAACCCTTTGAAGCATACATTTTCCTTTACGTGGAATTCAGTATGAAATTTGTTACTTGAAGATTTTCGAGATCGCTGATTACGAATCTGACCTCAGATTTTCGAAATTCAAAATGGTGGATCCAAGATGACGGACCGAAAAGTAAAAATTTACTTGGTCGAGACGAAACTGGGTACTCGAAGGTTTTCGGGGTCACTAATTACGAATTTGGCCGCAGATTTTCAAAATTCAAAATGGTGAATCCAAGATGGCGGACAAAAAATTAAAAAATTTTAACTTCAGATCCGTAATGAGAGACCCAAAAAACCTACCTGACCTCATTTTACAGCTCCAGTAATAATTTTTTAATTTTTTGTCCGCCATCTTGGATCCCCCATTTTGAATTTTGAAAATCTAAGGTCGAATTCGTAATCAGCAACCCCGAAAACCTCCGAGCAGTGTTGTTAGAGGAGCCCCCTTTTAGCGCATGCGCACTGCAGCGCTGAAGAAATCCAGGAATATATAACGGTTATTACGGAGGATGAGAGAGGAGTCCTATAGTTTTGGTGGGATACGGCCAGAATGACAATTAGATGTAAGTAAAATAATATTTATACATACAAAGTAAGGTTTTTGGTAGTTTCTCTTATCTTTGCAACAAATGTTGGTATCGTATTCTTTATAATTCTGCCGAATAAAATATTATATCTATTATAAATTTCTGTTTATTTATTTAGGAATCTTACACCTTTAACATATATTTACAGTATAACACTAAATTAGATGGACAGTCTCAATTATTGTTATTATTGTTATATTATTATTGTTATCAATTATTGGTGTTTTCAGTTTATGTAACTTCATATTATATTATAATCTCGTCACTTCTATTATTGATTTTTTTTTACTGATTTCGATTTTTAATAATAAATAATAACAAAAAAACAATAAATGATATTGTTACGCCCGTGCTGTATCGATCTGATGTCCGTGCCGTATCGATCGGTCGCACGTTACTCAGACGACTGGGTGTCAATTGTCAAACAAGACAGATAAATTCGGAAGTGAGCTGTCGACGCGTTGAGACGTACTCTTGGTTTTGCTCCATCTTGTATCTTAACGGTGTTCTCCTTTGCAATAAACGTTCTGTTCTTTTACGACCGTGTTGTTTATTTCGGCGGCTCGGTAGTGCGTGTAAATGTCTGTGAGAGCGACCTCGCAAATTGGTCGCGTGGGCGTAACATTTTGGGGGCTCGTCCGCTTGAACATTCGATGCGTGCCGTATGGGAATCTACAGCTCGAAAGAGGAGAGTTATTGATACAGAGCAATCTCCTGTGCTGTCAACTGCGAGGATGTCGCAGGAAGTGTCGCCTATGACGATAGCTCTGCAGGCCGTGTTGCGGAAAGTGCAGCAGCTGCGAGAGGAACAACGGCACGCGCGAACGGAATACACGGAATCTTCACGTCAACGCAACACCGAGATGCAACAAATGCGTGAGGAACATTAACGCACGCTGTCACATTGCATGGACTCGCTGCGACAACGCGACGCTGAAATCCAGCGGTTACGGGAGGAACGGCGCAACGGAAACACTCAAATAAGTCCTTCCGATAACAGAGTTTTTTTTCGCAAACACGCGCGATCGCGTTACACGTTTTTTGACAACCGGCGGAAACGGTACAAACGTACAAGAACGCGTTGAAACGTGCGCTATTTTTCACGATAATACGCGATCATCTGCGAGTGACAGTGATCGTGTGAATACGCGTGAACGAGTAGAATCCCGTGTTTTATTTCACGGAGAAACGAACGTTAAATTAAAGCCGGATACGTTTGACGGAAGTGCACCTCTGAGAGAGTTTCTTGCTCAATTTAATTTGATCGCTCGTGCAAATCGCTGGGAAGCGGAAACGAAGGTTGCCGTGTTAGCGTCGTGCTTGAGAGGAAAAGTGCGAGCGGTGTTGGAAGGCGTACAAAATTTGGAAAATTTAGATTTTTTTAGAATTGAAATCACGATTAGAGTTACGTTTCGGCGAAGCGCAGTCGTTACAGAACTATTACTCTCAATTTACGAATCGTAAACAGAAATTTGGGGAAAGTATTGCTTCTCTCGGTTCAGACATAGAAAGATTATCTCAATTGGCATATCCGGAGTGTTCTGATGTAATACGCGATAAAGTCGCGTGCGCGCAGTTTGTCTCCGCTTTATTAGACGGATTTGTTAAAAGGGCGTTACAGTTGGAGGGGGCGACATCATTAAGAGTTGCTATTGAAAGAACAAAAGCAATCAAATTAATTCAAGAAAATTGTTCTCAGTATAAGGAAAAGAATAATTATAATTTTGAAAAAAGAAAAGAGAGAAATTTCCACAATTTTAAAGAAAGTAATTCTGAGATTAAAGATAAGGGGGAAGAAAAACAAACTGGCAAAGAAAGGGAAGGAAAAATTAATAAAAATAAATTTTCAAAGTTTGGAAAAAGAAACAATTATAAGAAAGGAAATGGAAGTGAGAAGGAATGTTGGGAGTACTTCCGGTAAGGAGGAGCACTTCCGATCAGAATGTCCGGGCAGTTCGGTAAACAAGGAATAGTCG